ATGAAGCCCGGGGCTACGCAAAGATGCCAACTTTATTCCGGGGGGGGGGGGGGGGGGGGCGGGGAATCGATCTGTCCGAACGAGTTCTGTACTCGAACACCCATGAAGGCGCACACCGGGATGACGGGGGCAAGCGCCGCGTCGTGACGCATCTTTGTCAACCTATTGTGAAGTTTGCTTCGGGAAAGGTGTGCGGGGAGATGGAACATCGTGCGAAGACGCCGAACACACGCGCGGACACTGCGTTCCGAAAACCAACACGCAGATGACGCCTCATCTGTGACTACACTCTCAAAACAATACCCCCGTCTCTTTCTTTATATAACATACACCACTCTCTCGTGTTCACCTTCTGAAGCGCTCGCTCGTCACCGTGGCGTGCGCGATGACCACCACAGCCACGTGACTTTTCTTTCGTGTTGTGCGCGGTGCTTTTTAGCGCCACAGGGCGTGGATTTGTAGCGTTTATTTTCATTTGTTTGCTGGTGACTTTGTATTTTATATCGCTTCCAGTGCTTTTGCTGCTGGCGGCAATAAAAGTTGTTTAAAAGTCAAAAGTCTACCACACTCCACACTCTCTACCACACTCCACTCTCTCTACCACACTCCACTCTCTCTATGACTCTCCACTCTCTCTACCACACTCCACTCTCTCTACCACTCTCCACTTTCTCTACCACTCTCCACTCTCTACCACACTCCACTCTCTCTACCACACTCCACTCTCTCTACCACTATCCACTCTCTCTACCACACTCCACTCTCTCTACCACACTCCACTCTCTCTCTACCACTCTCCACTCTCTCTACCACTCTCCACGCTCTACCACACTCCACTCTCTCTACCACACTCCACTCTCTCTACCACTCTCCACTCTCTCTACCACACTCCACTCTCTCTACCACTCTCCACTTTCTCTACCACTCTCCACTCTCTCTCTACCACACTCCACTCTCTCTACCACTCTCCACTCTCTACCACACTCCACTCTCTCTACCACACTCCACTCTCTCTACCACTCTCCACTCTCTCTACCACACTCCACTCTCTCTACCACACTCCACTCTCTCTCTACCACTCTCCACTCTCTCTACCACTCTCCACTCTCTACCACACTCCACTCTCTCTACCACACTCCACTCTCTCTACCACTCTCCACTCTCTCTACCACACTCCACTCTCTCTACCACTCTCCACTCTCTCTACCACTCTCCACTCTCTCTACCACTCTCCACTCTCTCTCTACCACACTCCACTCTCTCTACCACTCTCCACTCTCTACCACACTCCACTCTCTCTACCACAGTCCACTGTCTCTACCACTCTCCACTCTCTCTACCACACTCCACTCTCTCTCTACCACTCTCCACTCTCTCTACCACTCTCCACTCTCTACCACTCTCCACTCTCTCTACCACTCTCCACTCTCTACTACTCTCCACTATCTCTACCACACTCCACTCTCTCTACCACTCTCTACCACTCTCCACTCTCTCTACCACACTCCACACTCTCTACCACTCTCCACTCTCTCTACCACACTCCACTCTCTCTACCACTCTCCACTAGCTCTACCACACTCAAATCTCTCTACCACTCTCCACTCTCTCTACCATTCTCTACTCTCTACCACACTACACTCTCTCTACCACACTCCACTCTTTACCACTCCCCACTCTCTCTACCACTCTCCACTCTCTCTACCACTCTCCACTCTCTCTACCACATTCCACTCTCTACCACACTGCACTCTCTCTCTACCACTCTCCACTCTCTCTACCACTCTCCACTCTCTCTACCACTCTCCACTCTCTCTCTACCACACTCCACTCTCTCTACCACTCTCCACTCTCTACCACACTCCGCTCTCTCTACCACAGTCCACTCTCTCTACCACTCTCCACTCTCTCTACCACACTCCACTCTCTACCACTCTCCACTCTCTACCACTCTCCACTCTCTCTACCACTCTCCACTCTCTACTACTCTCCACTATCTCTACCACACTCCACTCTCTCTACCACTCTCTACCACTCTCCACTCTCTCTACCACTCTCCACTCTCTCTACCACACTCCACTCTCTACCACACTCCACTCTCTCTACCACACTCCACTCTCTACCACTCTCCACTCTCTCTACCACTCTCCACTCTCTCTACCACTCTCCACTCTCTACCACTCTCCACTCTCTCTACCATTCTCCACTCTCTACCACACTACACTCTCTCTACCACACTCCACTCTTTACCACTCCCCACTCTCTCTACCACTCTCCACTCTCTCTACCACTCTCCACTCTCTCTACCACTCTCCACTCTCTCTACCACACTCCACTCTCTACCACTCTCCACTCTTTCTACCACTCTCCACTCTCTCTACCACACTCCACTCTCTCTACCACTCTCCACTCTTTCTACCACTCTCCACTCTCTCTACCACACTCCACTCTCTACCACTCTCCACTCTCTCTACCACTCTCCACTCTCTCTACCACACTCCACTCTCTACCACACTCCACTCTCTCTACCACTCTCCACTCTCTCTACCACACTCCACTCTCTACCACTCTCCACTCTCTCTACCACTCTCCACTCTCTCTACCACACTCCACTCTCTACCACTCTCCACTCTCTCTACCACACTCCAATCTACCACTCTCCACTCTCTCTACCAAACTCCACACTCTCTACCACACTCCACTCTCTCTACGACTCTCCACTCTCTCTACCACTCTCCACTCTCTCTACCACACTCCACACTCTCTACCACACTCCACTCTCTACCACACTCCACTCTCTCTACCACTCTCCACTCTCTCTACCACACTCCACTCTCTCTACCACACTCCACTCTCTCTACCACTCTCCACTCTCTCTACCACACTCCACTCTCTCTACCACACTCCACACTCTCTACCACACTCCACTCTCTACCACTCTCCACTCTCTCTACCACACTCCACTCTCTCTACCACTCTCCACTCTCTCTACCACTCTCTACTCTCTCTACCACACTCCACTCTCTCTACCACTCTCCACTCTCTACCACACTCCACTCTCTCTACCACTCTCCACTCTCTCTCTACCACACTCCACTCTCTCTACCACTCTCCACTCTCTACCACACTCCACTCTCTCTACCACAGTCCACTGTCTCTACCACTCTCCACTCTCTCTACCACACTCCACTCTCTCTCTACCACTCTCCACTCTCTCTACCACTCTCCACTCTCTACCACTCTCCACTCTCTCTACCACTCTCCACTCTCTACTACTCTCCACTATCTCTACCACACTCCACTCTCTCTACCACTCTCTACCACTCTCCACTCTCTCTACCACACTCCACACTCTCTACCACTCTCCACTCTCTCTACCACACTCCACTCTCTCTACCACTCTCCACTAGCTCTACCACACTCAAATCTCTCTACCACTCTCCACTCTCTCTACCATTCTCTACTCTCTACCACACTACACTCTCTCTACCACACTCCACTCTTTACCACTCCCCACTCTCTCTACCACTCTCCACTCTCTCTACCACTCTCCACTCTCTCTACCACATTCCACTCTCTACCACACTGCACTCTCTCTCTACCACTCTCCACTCTCTCTACCACTCTCCACTCTCTCTCTACCACACTCCACTCTCTCTACCACTCTCCACTCTCTACCACACTCCGCTCTCTCTACCACAGTCCACTCTCTCTACCACTCTCCACTCTCTCTACCACACTCCACTCTCTCTACCACTCTCCACTCTCTACCACTCTCCACTCTCTACCACTCTCCACTCTCTCTACCACTCTCCACTCTCTACTACTCTCCACTATCTCTACCACACTCCACTCTCTCTACCACTCTCTACCACTCTCCACTCTCTCTACCACTCTCCACTCTCTCTACCACACTCCACTCTCTACCACACTCCACTCTCTCTACCACACTCCACTCTCTACCACTCTCCACTCTCTCTACCACTCTCCACTCTCTCTACCACTCTCCACTCTCTACCACTCTCCACTCTCTCTACCATTCTCCACTCTCTACCACACTACACTCTCTCTACCACACTCCACTCTTTACCACTCCCCACTCTCTCTACCACTCTCCACTCTCTCTACCACTCTCCACTCTCTCTACCACTCTCCACTCTCTCTACCACACTCCACTCTCTACCACTCTCCACTCTTTCTACCACTCTCCACTCTCTCTACCACACTCCACTCTCTCTACCACTCTCCACTCTTTCTACCACTCTCCACTCTCTCTACCACACTCCACTCTCTACCACTCTCCACTCTCTCTACCACTCTCCACTCTCTCTACCACACTCCACTCTCTACCACACTCCACTCTCTCTACCACTCTCTCTACCACACTCCACTCTCTACCACTCTCCACTCTCTCTACCACTCTCCACTCTCTCTACCACACTCCACTCTCTACCACTCTCCACTCTCTCTACCACACTCCAATCTACCACTCTCCACTCTCTCTACCAAACGCCACACTCTCTACCACACTCCACTCTCTCTACGACTCTCCACTCTCTCTACCACTCTCCACTCTCTCTACCACACTCCACACTCTCTACCACACTCCACTCTCTACCACACTCCACTCTCTCTACCACTCTCCACTCTCTCTACCACTCTCCACTCTCTCTACCACACTCCATTCTCTCTGCTCGTATTCACGCTCTCTCTACAATACTTGGCACTCCACCCATACAGTGCAGTACTCGTACCGACAAGACGGTATTGACTCAACGCTCCAAGGCTCCGCACCACTCTCTATCCCAGACTTGAAGTCTCCCAAACTCGCCCACCTCCTCCCATTGCCACGTAACCTCCCGCGTTTTCCTTCGCCCCCCAAATCACCCCCACACAATCACCCACCAGCGGTACCCACATCCCCCGACTCCTTATTCCGTGTACCCTCCACTCCTTCCCTTAGCCCCCCCCCCCCGCCCCCCCGATTCCCCGTTACTCACAGCGTGACGGTGCGAGAGGGCAAGACGCCGGGCGGCAGCACCTCGCCGAGCGAGCCGCTCGAGCAGGTCACTCTGCGCGCAGCCGCGTGCCGCGCGGGTCCCTTGGCACGCTCCTCCCCGCAGCTGCACTCGTCCACGGCCAGCTCGGAGCACGCGAGGGCACCCGGGGCCGCGCCCAGCCACGGGGTGACGAGCAGGAGGAGGAGGGCGAGGGTCAGCGCCGCCGCGCCGCCGCCGCCGCCGCCGAAGCCGCCGAAGCCGCAGCCGCAGGCGGTGTCGGGCGTGCGGCCCCGCGATGAGGAATCAGCGCCTCGCTCGGTCCGTGTCGCCATCGGAGCGGCGCGGACGCGCTCGCTGCGCTACTACCACCGCCCCCCACCTTCTCTGCCAGAGTCGGATCGCAACCCTCCAACACCCACCCCACCCTCTTCGTTGGGGTTCCCACCTCCCTGTTCCTCTGTCCTGGTGGTGCCCCCCCCCACCCCACAACTGTCTCCACGGTCCGATAAACAGACCCCCCCCCCCTTCTCTCGAATTCAGTTCGCCGTCTCCTCTTCTCGCGCTGCTCCGGCGCTCTGTGGCATCGTGGAGCGCAGCCGCAGCAGCCCCAGAACGCTGCTCTTGCGCCCGCTATATTTAGACACACGTGTACACACACACACACACGTGTACACACACACACGTGTACACACACACGTGTACACACACACACACGTGTACACACACACACGTGTACACACACACAGACACGTGTACACGTACACACACGCACGTGTACACACACGCACGTGTACACACACACAGACACGTGTACACACACACAGACACGTGTACACGTACACACACACGCACGTGTACACACGCCCTGTTCTTGCGACTCTATTCCTGTGTGCGCGCGCGTGAGACTGTCTGCCTGTGTGCGCACGCGGCTCTGCCTGCGCAAGGAGACTTGCCTTGCGCGGCTGCGTGTAAAGAGAACTGCTGCTCGTGCGGCGTGTGCTTGTGGGGTCGCGAGCAACAGCGGCGGCGGCGGCGGCTACGGCAGCAGCTGCGAAATGTCTCGAGGCAGCCCGCGCAGTCTTCAAGACGAGACGAGTGCGTGCACGGAGAGCGAGGAGGCTACGCCACCCCCCCCCCCCACCGTGGCCTCGCGCTCTGCAACGCTGCGCTGATTGCAGGCTGAAGCTGCAGCGGTTACAGCAGCCACGGCGTAGCAGCAGCAGCAGCAGCCACAACTTACAGCTGTGAGTTGTATAGGTGTAGTAAAGGGTAGTCTTTATAAGTTTTCAGCACCGCCTCTCCCCGTGTCCCGCCTGCTTCCCCCGCCCGCCCGCCCGCCCGCCCTGCCTCGGGAATAACGGTGCCGCCTCCTCCTCCTCCTCCTACTAACTCCTCCGCTGCTACTGCTGCGCTCCCTTTGCCCCCCTCCTCAGGGGCCTTCTGTTACACACACACAGAGAAAGAGGAAAGTGAACCCCGCTTCATCGGCGTGGCTGTGGAGGGCGCAGGCGGTGCAATTGCGCGCCGTTGCCCACGGGGCCGAAAGGGCCACCACCCCCCACCCCCCGGGGGCGCAGGGCTACGAAGCGGTTTGGAAATTGGGAAGGGGGGCCTGGGCCGACGAGTCGTGACCACCCCCCCCCACACTCCCGCGCGTTTTAATAATTGCACCCCCAGGGCTACACGCATAAGCTAGGCTACGCCGCTGCTAGACTGGATGTCAAACGTTGGATTTAAACAAAATAAATCGGGTGTTCTTCCTGGTTCAGCAGTTCCACTGCTGGATTATTTTTTTCCGCCTGAGGACGACCGCTTGTGTTGCGATCGAAACGTCGTGATATATTATTTTTGTTTATTTCATTTTTCTACCTACGTGACTTTACCGAAAGAATCAAAGAGTACAAATAAATAGGCTTCCCTCGTCTGGCATCGGTTGAGGTGTTTTAGTGGGTTGGAAGATGTCCATTTCACCGGGATTTTGAGAAACGTGGAGGTGTTAAGTGTGGGGTTTTTTTCTCCGTCAACCGGGTTCGACCAAGTTGATTCGGCTAAACCGGTTTTTTAAATTTTATTTTGTAGAAACGCCAATGGGGAGTAGAGACGCGATGGTTAAAATAAAACTAACCAGTTTAACACGTAGGCTTTCGCGACCAATATTATTCATAATATAGGTTTTTTGTGGGGTTAGATGGCTTAAATATTAATGTGTCGTTAAACCCGCCACCACCTGACACAGGCAATTAGGGTCCATCCATTGGGTAGGTACGCAAAAATCTGTCAAAACTTGACCCCTCCCCCCCTCCCTGTACGCACGCGGACTTTTTACACCCCCCCCCCCCACCTGCGTACAGACGATTGACGTACCCCCCCCCCTCGAATCCTATAGAACGGCCGATATTTAATCCACGCAGAAATGATCAAGGAATAATATTAACGTTTTTAAGCAAACAGATAGTCCACCGCCGACTGCATTAAAGAATTAAGTTGCGTACCTTGGCCACTTATTTTGCTGAGCTGCGTGATAGCTGCAGTCAGGGGTACGGTGGCATAACAAGTGACACCTCTCCCACAGTCCCACCTCTCCCGGTTGTACTTGTTGTCTGACAGCTGAAGAAACTGAACTGTGGCTCATTTGAAGGCCAATGTAGACAAATGATTATCGAGGCTTCACCGCCCCCCCTCCCCCCCCCGTTTCCTCTGCGTACGTACATTGTCAGTAGACCCCCAATACGCAAGCGTACGCGTTTGGGTTAACCCACCCTCCCCCCTCCATGCGTACGTACTCAATGGATGGCCCCTTAGTAAGATTTGTCACGTAAACAGAACGTGCCAATTCGTCACTAGTACAGCACACCACCGCTGTGTTGGAGAGTAAACCCACAACATTTATAATCTGAGTACGACGTTTCACCAGTAAATGCAACTCGCCTGATGATCAACATACATCTCTGAAAATCAATTTTGGGCCCTTGATTCAGCAACCTGCAACTGAGCAGCGCGGGCGAGGCATGGACAAACAACACCCAACAGTGGATTTACGTCGCTGGCCGAGTTCATTAAAAGGTCGCAGATAAGTTTGCAGGACTGACCGAGCAGAGCAAATTAACTTATCTATTGCAAGCGAATTGGGTGTGAGATTTACGACTTGTGGTAGAAAATTAATAACGTGTTAAAATAAAAAAAACATCACAGAGAACTTAAAAAAGGCGTAAAGTATAGAAGCCATTCACCCCTCTGGTATGTAAACAACGTTTTGGGCCACATTTATTAACTTGTGCGATACAGCCGACGCACATCGAATCGGCAATGTCCTCCCGTTGTTGGTGATGGTAAAAGACCGGCACTTTTGTTCGGCAGAAATCAGACGATGGGGAACATTCGCCGTCGCGATGTGAATGTGGCTCCTTGCCGGGCTAAGTTACGTCCGTGTAGGAGTGCGTTCGCCCCTGGACGTCATCACCCGAGAATCGCCCCATGCCGTCGTATCTCGGAAGCTAAGCTGGGATGAGTCTGGATCTCTTCTAAGAGCCCTTCACTGTCATTTCATCAGTTTTTGGTTGTTGTCACAGAACCGTGAACTTACATTTGAGAGCCATATAAACCCACGTACTCTCATATTCTCTGCGGTAGTCTTGCATGGACTGTCTATAGCCGAGTGGTCGGCAACCAAAATAACTACAAGTAGTGGCATTTTTCTCGAATTCGGTCCAAAAAAAAGGCCCTCAATATTTGAAGAGCCGCAATGCACCTGGTGAACACGAGACGGTGACTCCCTGATACATGACGCGTCACGAAGCAGTCCTTAGACAGCCGCACGCGGCGCCGCAGCAGCAGGATGCCGAACGCCGATCTCGCGTGAGACCAGCACGTGTCACGACGCCGGTTGGTACCGGGCGCATAAGTTAATTCCCCGTTAAAGTCAAATTGCCGTGAGCTGAATGTCAGTGGGAGAAATAACGAAATGATGTATGCTTGTTCGAAGGTGCGTGTTAAAGATCCTGTGACAATGTTCGCAAGAGTCAGTCACAGTGTGCCTACTTCTTAGTTGGAAATCAATATTATTCGAAGCTGCTGCCGGTAGATTAACTGTTTAAAGAACATGATCTCTTCCCCCGTAATCGACTGGTTACAGATGGCACGTGTATCCGCTTTACAGCAAACGCACGTACAAAGCCATGGCGATGTTCTGTCAGGCCCCTGTGCAAACAATGTGAAGAAGGGTCGTAGGGCTATACATGGAGAGAGACAATAAGACATGGTGGGAGACACAGAGGCAGAGACAGAGAGTGATATAAACAAAGGAAGTGAAAGAGATGCAGAGAGAACAACGATTTTTTTTGGCATAGACATAGACAAACACAGAGCAGTGTCGTAGAGATTCATGGGGGTGATTGACCATACTTCACCACAAAGGTTGGTTAAGGGGGGCGGGGCAAAGGGGGGGGGGGCAGGACCAGCTCAGATATCGCTGACCACTGACACAAGTCGTGGCTGGAATTGATTCTCTACGCTGATGGTACACGCGTTGAATAGCACGTCTAACGTTTAACACGTAAGAATCAAGGGCTCTACATCGCTCTACTGTCGCCGCGATGGTGAGATGTTAACTACCTCACCTGGTATACAGGAGGTCGTGGTTTCGATCCTGACCCTGACGCCTGCTGCTGCTGTATATTTGGAGTTTGTGTGTCTCTCTCCCCGTGGTCGCGCGGATTTTCTCCGGGTCCTCCGTTTTTTTTCCCTCCGCATTTAGAATCAACATCACTCGTTTAGAGTATTTGACCGCTATAAATGTCCACGTGATAAGCCACTTTGTTGAGTTATCATTTGTGGCTTGGTCGCTTCTGAAAAAAATAACTGTATAGCTCGGGACTTACCTGGTAAAATAAAAAAAAATAGTTTAGTTTAGTTTCATGTAATATATTCACAAGGTAATGCACAATAACAATCATTCCTTTATTTGAATCGCGACAATTCATCGAATTCACCAGGCATGGGTTTGTTGTTAAGGGGGGGGGGGAGCAATCGTTACACCCGTAGTGAAATAATAAAGGGACTGAGTGGGGTCGCTATTGTGAGCTTCTCCTACTGCAGATTTTAATGAACTCTCCATCAATGAAACACACCCGAACCAATCGCAGCCTGGCAAAGTTCCAAAACTTTCCACGGCCCCCCCCCCCCCCACTCGATTGCCCGCCTCCTCCTCTTCTCCCCCCTCTCCTCGTCCTCCAGCTCGGTCTGCCTGTCTGGCGTAGAGACGACTCGAGACATCGCCCTCCTCCTACTCCCCGTGAAGGACGTTCTTTACAAAATCCACGAACTGCCTCGAGAATGGAATATGTTACTCCGGACGCAAGGGCTTTTCCCTGGATCAACTCCTAATTTAATCTCTCTCTTTCTCTCCTGGCTCTCTGCCACAAAATATATCTCCCCCATGTGCGACTCAAGTCCCCCAGTGAATTATTTTGTAAAATTCCATACCACCACCACGCCGCTCCCCCACCACCACCCCTGGCCAAACCGCCACCCCCTCTTCCGACGACCATCCCGACCTCGTCCAGCACCCCGGCTCCCTCGTCTTTGTTTAAAAAAAAAGAGGCAATTAAGAGACACAACGCTCCAACGAGGCAGAAAATATGAGATGCGTCCCCTTTCCAATATCGCCATCGCAAATAAAAAGAACACAATAAGTCAGATTTTTTTGTGTGTGTCGCATCTCTCTCTCTCTCGT